CTCCCAAATTTATAACCCCTTTGCAAACATTCAGCAAGTTGCTTCCAATGTGTCCATGTCCCTTTTCCCTCAAAGTCTGCAACGGAGTCATGTAATAGAAGTTGGATTCTGAACACCTCAGCCTGTATTTAGCTGAGGGTCACTGCCTCTGTTTCCTGCCTAACAGGTGTCCCTGTGGCCTGGCTCTTCCCCTCCTGCTTTGTGGTCTAATGAGAGATGAAATTGAGAGCTAATAAGAGATACAAGGGGGCTTTGAAAAAGGAGGTACAAGGATGTTTTATATGAGCAGATAATGTCAAGACAAGTGGGAATGGTTTTAAACTGCCAGAGGGCAGGGATACATGGGATATTGGGAAGAAATTCTTCCCTGTGAGGATGCTGAGGCACTGGCACAGGCTGCCCAGAGAACCTGTCCCTGGGAGTGTTCCAGGCCGGGTTGGATGGGGTTTGGAGCAACCTGGGCTAGTGGAAGGTGTCCCTGCCCATGACAGGGGTGGAACTAGATGAGCTTTAAGGTCCCTTCCAACCCAAACCAGTCTGGGATTCTGTGATCAGCTGTCCCTACTGCAAGCTTGCAAAAAGGAAAAAAAAAAGCAAAATGGAAGTGCAATTACGTTCTCTTTTCTCAGTTGCTAAAAGTGTAGTTCCCTGCTCCCTTCACTACTGACATCAGGGATCAGTGTTCTGTGCCCAGGCACCAGAACCAGACACCGGGGGGTGCAAAGAGACAAACTGAGAAGGGCTTGTTGATCAAACTGTAACTCACCAATCATCTGTCCAGCTGGAAAGACAGAACTGCCTGTGGATCCAAACACAGAGCAGGGAGGCAGTGAGGGCAGTCACACTGCTGTAGAAGAGATCTCAAGATGATCTCAAGAATCATAGAATCATCACAGAATTATAGGAGTTGGAATGGACCTTACAGATCATATAATGCCAACCCCCTGCCCTGGGCAGGGACACGTCCCCACTAGATCAGGTTGCTCAAGGCTTTGTCCAGCCTGGCCTTGAACACTGCCAGGGCTGGGCCAGCCACCACTTCTCTGGGCAACCTGTGCCAGTGTCTCATCACTCTCACAGGAAAAAAAATTTTTCTAATATCTAATCTAAACTTCCCCTCCTTCAATTTGAACCTGTTACCCCTTGTCCTATCAATGCAGATCCTAACAAAGACTCTCTCTCTGGCTCCTTATAGGCCCTTCAGATATTGAAAAGTTGCTATGAGGTCTCCATGCAGTCTTTACTTCTCCAGGCTGAACAGCCTCAACTCTCCTGGACTTGCTCCAACAGTTCCATGTCCTTCTGATGTGGAGGGCACCAGAACTGTGTGCCGTATTCCAGGTGGGTCTCACAGGAGCAGAATAGAGGGGAAGAATCACCTCTTGACCTACTGCCCACACTCCTTTGGATGCAGCCTAGGATTTGGTTGCCTGTCTGGGCTGAGCTCACACTGCAGCTCATTGTTTCTCATCCACTGTCACTCCCAAGTCTTTCTCCTCACTGCTGGTCTCAATTCCTTCCCCACCCAACCTGTAGCTGTGCCTGGGATTGCCACGACCCAAATGTAGGACCTTGCACTTCATTTGATTGAACTCCATGAGGTTTGCATTGTTCCACCTCTCAGGCCTGTCCAGGTCCCTCTGGATGGCATAGCCCTTCCCTCCAGCTGTGACTGCCCCACACAGCTTGGTGATGTCAGGCAACTTGCTGAGGGAGCTCTGATCTCACTGTCCATGTCGTCCACAAAGATGCTGAACAGTATCGGCCCCAGTACTGACCCCTGAGGGACACCACTCCTCACTGGGCTCCACGTGGACACCAACCCCCTGACCACAACTCTCTGTGTGCGACCGTCCAGCTAGTTCCTTATCCACCCAGTGCTCCACCCGTCAAATCCATGGCTCTCTGATTTAGTGACAAGGATGTAGTGTGGGACAGTGTCAAACCCTTTGCATATGTCCAGGTAGATGATATCAGTGGCTCTGCCCCTGTGCACAAAGGCTGTGGCCACAACATAGAAGGCCACCAAACTCGTCAGGCATGACTTGCCCCTGGGAAAGCCATGTTGGCTATTGCCAATCACCTCTTTGCTTTTCATGTGCCTAAGCATAGCTTCCAGGAGAATCTGCTCCATGATCTTGCCAGGGACAGAGGTAAGACTGAGTGGTCTATAGTTCCCTGGTTCTTCTGCTTTTCCTTTTTTGAAAATTTGGGTTATATTTTCCATTGGAACAGGTTGCCCAGGGACATGGTAGCTGCCCTGACCCTGGGGGTGTTCAAGACCAGGCTGGATGAGGCCTTGAGCAACGTCATCTAGTGAGGAGGTGTCCCTGCTCAGGTGACTGGACAGCAGTTCCCTGGTTCTTCTGCTTTCCCTTTTTTGAAAATGGGGGTTATGTTTCCCTTTTTCCAGTCATCAGGGACTTCACCTGACTGCCACGAGTTCTCAAAAATTATAGATAGTGGCTTAGCAACTACATCCACCAGTTCCTTCAGGACCAATCTCATCAGGACCTATGGACTTCTACACATTCAAGTTCCTGAGATGGTCTCGAACCTGATCCTCTTCTACAGTGGGTTCAAGGGTTTCATTCTCCCAGTCTCCACCTTATTGGTCTGGTCAGGGACCTTGTTTGGGACAAGAAAGGGGGGAAAGGAAGATTTAAGAACAAAATACTTGCCAAATTGGAGTAATCCCCCCATGGGGTCTGTGGTCAATCCAGTCCATTCCAAACACAGTCCCAGAGGCCACAGGGATGGAATGCAGAGCCCCTGAGGGAAGGAGAAAAAGGCCTCCAGCAGCAGACAAGGGCTTCCAACAGCCCATTCCCATGGGAAGCTCCCAATGATTTGGAAACACCTCATCACACACCTTCTTCCCAGAACATGCTGAGCTTTCTGCCACGCTGTGTGAGCTGTGCTGGCATGTCACAGACCACTTGCAGGGACACTGGACACCCCCATGAGACAGGGAGGGCAGTGTCACTGCACCATGAACTTTGTTAAGTAACTAAACCCCATTCACACAGATGTTTTCTGTAGCAAAGCTCTTATGAGATTTATTTTGAACTACAAAAGACTAACAAAGAGAGTTATCCTGTTCAGCATGCACTGACAAGTTCCTGAGGGGATCTGACAGCCCAGGAAGTAACATCTGAGTGGTAAAACTGAGTTCCTGTGCAGCTCTAAAGGAGCACCACAAGCTCCTTACAGCCTGGCCCTGGGAACTGGGGAGAAAGAAGAGACTGTTACCAGGGAAAATATGTAAGATTTCCAAATACAACACAACAGAGGATCCAGTTCCTGTGGAAGTCTGACCCTTTATCTCATGCTGGCTCTGTTCTTCAAGGCCTGGGTGACTATAGTCCAGTAACTCAATTTCTTGTCACCAAACTGTTCACTTCCTTTTACATCAGGCTAAACAGAGTGTCAGCAGTAAATACCAAGGGTTTTAACAGAATGGGAGGAGTAAGATTCCTCAGTTATTAGGGTTATGAAATGAGAGGAATTTTGCTGTGGCTTTGAGTCCTCCTCCACAAGAGAGGAATCACAGTGAGCAGCATGAACATCTGACAGAGCTGTGAAACAGCTGTGGTCACACCTGTAACAGGAGCCCTAGAAGAGCTGAACTTCAGTGCACAGCCTGGTTTGGGCTGCTAAAACCTGCGAAGATCAGTGGGCTTACACCCCTCGCTCCAGGTGTGACCCATGGGTGCTCCTCAAACAGGGTGTCACCTCCAGCCCCAGAGGAGAGAAGGGACAGGGATCCAGAGGGCAGCTGAGTGCAGGATGATCTTGGCAGTGGTAGATTATGGTTGGACTCAACGATCTTGACAGGTCTTTCACAACTTAAATGATTCTATGAAGGTGTCCAAAGCAGCCACAACTCTCAAACTCCTCCAGTAACTCTGATCTCCTTGCAAAGTTCAGCATCCTCCTGAGATTTCCACCTCAGCATAAAGATGACCAGCTGCAGAGACAGCTTTAGGAAGCTGGCAAGGCTGGAGAAGAGAAGGAACGCGTTATTTTACAAGCTGTTTGCTTGGCTCAGTCCACCTGCACACCCTCAGGCAGCTCCACCACCACAGGAGCACAGTCGTCAGGTTCTGCCTCAAAGTCCCATTTAAACTTCTTTGTTAGGTGAGCCTTGAACTTCTCAGCCTTTTTCCTTAGGGTCTCATCAACAGCATCACTACAGGTGCAGGAGAAGAGCACCTAGAAGAAGAGCAGAGGTCAGAAAGAGCTCAGCCACGGCACAACCTGGATACATTTTTCCTACAATGAAATCAACAGGGAGCACCAGGAAAAGTCGGGTTAGGCCACTGGCAAGGGATCTACCACCCTGGAACCACTCCAGCTTTGGGGCTACCTAACCAAAGCCTACACCTCTCATCCCACAGGCCCATCCCATCCTGCCTTCATGCCACTGAGTCAGTGTCTGCACTCGGGGAAGAACTTTCTTTGAAGCAGAAGTATCCATGGACTTAAATCTGTACTATGGAATTCTGAAATATGCCTAAGTGTTAGCTAAGAAAAATATCTGAGCAGAAGGAAGTAACAAAAGAGAGCATTATCAGCAGCCAATTTTCCAGCATGTGTCCAAAAGACCAACAGGCAATTGTACCCATTGTTTCCATGGCTGGAGACCTCCCAGAGTAGTTTTGTCACATGGCATCACCAACACCTTTTAATACAGAGAAAACTTAACAAAAATACCTTGAAGGTAAGAGAGGAATGGGAACTCTCTGGAAAAAGTCCAGATCTCCCCAGCACAGCCATTCCCTTGAGCACAGGGTACGGAGCTCTGGACTAACCTCTCCCCTCATCATCCAAACATAATTCTATAAATGTGTCACAAATTCACAGCTTCCATTGGCACCTTGAGAGTGAAAGCATCTGTGTGTGATCAGCAGGGAACTGAGCCCCAGAGCCCAGCTCTCATCAGCTCCTCTGCTGA